ACCTGGGTCTGGGGACGCGGGGCTCTCGGTGCCACAGCTTCGGCCCCCAAGTCCGCCATCTCCCCGAGTCTGGCCCCGCGCGTACGTACCTTCGGAGAGCGGCGAGTCTACACGGCACCCACGCACTCGAACCTCTCCGGACACCCTCGGGGGCGGGGCTGCTTCCAGGAAACAGCGTCTGCTCTCACCCCGCCCCCACCAGCGTGCAGGCCACACCCTCTGGGGGCAATTCGCCGGAGGGCTGGTCAGCTCCAGCCCGGGCCTCGCACAGGCCCGTCAGTCTCGAGGCCTGGCCAATCAGGTGTGGCGAGGGGCTGCTGAGCCCGCCCCGCCCGCGCGGGACCAGCGCCTGGGCGGGGACAGGCCGGGCCCGCCTGCCAGCAGGACCGCGGAGCGGAGGCGCGGGGACTCTGCGCGTGAACCTTCCTCGGAAGCGGTTACGGCCCCGAGGGTCTCTGTACAGTCCTCCGCTTCCCAGTTTGGAGCATGCTTGGCGCTAGTTAATTATTTGTTGAAAGAATAATTGGACGTCAAGGACATTAAAACGACACCGTAATGCCCAACACAGCGTAACAGCTAAGTTCACTTTTGCGGACTGAGCATTTTAAAGTTGTTGAGTTCGGCACAGTCTGCCTTCTAAGTTTTAAGAGAAAATTTATTCCAGCGTTAATTGCCGAAGGTCTACTCTGTGCCACGGTGTGGGAGATGTGGTTTGAATGTCGCGGGCACGTTAGGCATTAGACCTGATGAGTACAGTGGGAGATCTGACCAAAGGCCTGTGGGGGGTTGGGACAGAGTATGTGCAGGGGTGGGAGGAATTTAGTGACGCTTTTGGGACTTGGGTGAGCTGGTAGGATTGGGGGACTGAAGTGGGGGTCGGGATCAGTACCCTAGCAAAGGAATGCTTTTTGAAAGGCGAATCAGGGATTATCGTGGAGGATACCAGTCAATTGTACTACTTAAAACCGGTTTTATACCTCTTTATATTGCAAGTTAAAGAGGTAGAGAGGCTTAATGCTAAGGAAATATGACACTGCTTAGTTCCCAGCTACTAGAGTTCTGATCTGTGTTCAAATAAAGTAGAAAAGAATGAAGAAATAAAATGGTCACTGTAGTCAAGCTGCTATTAAAATCAAGTAGGCTGCGACATAAGGAAATGATCCTCTTCTTGCTTTAACTAGCCTGGGAACTTAAACTTTTCATTTGTGCATCTATGCCTGGATGTACATGAACTCCACAGATAATCATCTGAATAACTCCGTTAATGAACCGGACCACTGGACACCTGGAAGATTACCATCTTGGATCAATCCAGAGGCTAAACATGCAGCACTGACTCTTCTCAAAAATGTGCTTTCTACTATAAAAACTTCAGCTTTTTAAAAAATTGATGAGAGAGAAGTATCGGTTGCCTTCACACTTGCTCTGACTGGGGACTGAACCCACAACCTGGATAATATGCCCTGACCAGGAATCAAACCCACCACCTCTTGGTATACAGGACAACGCTCCAACCAACTAAGCCACACCAGGCAGAGCAAAACTCCTAAATTTCTTTCTTCTTCAGCATACTCTGGGTATTACCTAGTTGTGTTCCAGGTTTGCAAACCTAGACACTTGAATAAAAATTTGTAATTTTTAATTTTAGCAAATAAAACTTTGCTATTTTTAACTTTAGCAAAGCCTCCTGATTCATTTATGTCCAGTTGACAGGAAGCTATGTTTTTTGTGCATTAAAGAGTCAGGGACAGTACACTTATCTAATTTTGACAAGTGTTACTATCCTCATTTTACAGATTGGGAAAACCATTGCCAGGAAGATTACATACTTTGCCCCAACTCACACTGGGTTTACTTTGCAATGCCTGCTAAACATGCTCCTTCAACTCATAGGGATAATTACTGCTCATCCTCTCCTCCCCCAGTTTAGATCCCCCGTCCAACATTTCTTTTATGATATGGTTCATCTCTGAGTTTACTGATAACTAAAAATAATTAGGACCATCTACCTCTAAGAGCCCAAACAGGGTGGAAAATTTTAAAATGTTGCTTTTTGGTGTAATCTATTTTTCCCATGTTTGTCTCTTATTTTTGACTGGAAGACCTGTTTCAATTGACAGCCCCTACTAATTTTACCTTAATCTTTCACTCTGATCCATAAAAAGTATTGTGAATCCAACAATATGAATAAATCTTAAGCATAATATTGAACAAAAGTAGTCAGACGCAATACATATTGTATTATTTCGTTTGTATAAAATACAAACCCAGGCAAAATTAAATCTGTGCTATTAAGTCAGGACAGCAATTACCACTGGGGGGACAGTGAGTGACTGGGAGACCAAAGGGGCTTTTTAGGGTACTGGTCGTTGTTTATTGGTCTGAGTGTGTTACATGGATGTGTTTAGTTTGTGAAAATTCATCAACCTCTAAACTTACCTGCACCTTTTAGTATGTATAATTTTTTTTAAAATGAAAAAAAAAAAAAACCCCACCCAC